GCAAGCGTCATCTGGCTATGGTACCAGCATGTGCCTGCAATGCGCTCGGAAATGAGTGTTTCAAGTTGTTTCGGTATTTGCCGCAGACTCTGATTCCGACCGCGAGCAGCTGCCTTAAGGTGTCCGCGTGAGTCAGAAGATCAGTGGCTGAGCCGGCACTTCTTTTGTTTTATTTCTTGGAAATCGGGTTCTTTGGAATTGGAGACAGACGAAGCGCAAACAGCAGCTGCAACTAAGAGTATCGCAGGACAGCAACGAAGCTTCAATCAGGGGTTCATATGTGCCGTGTATGTAGGCCGACGCGCGTCTACCTCTGCTGTTGGAAAGGGACTAAACCCAAAGTCGAGTTCCAAGTCAAAAAATGTCTACACCAAGAGCCTAAACCCACAGCCCGATACTCAAAATCGCAGCCCAGGTTCTTCAGTACTGGCAAGGGGCAAGAATCGACAAGTCCAGATCCTGCTGCGGCCCAAGACTAGAACAGGCCAAGTCGTTTTGCATGGGTCAGGATGATCAGGACCAGTACCACTTGTCTTGCTGATAGTCCTTGTTGTGTTGCTGTCACAATCGTTGCCATGCTGGCTATTACTGCCTCGGTAAGGCTTCGTGTCTACGGTGACATGATGCGATCTGCAGCTATATCCTTCGCCCCCATCTTACTTTTCAAAAATCCCCCGCACGTCGAGGCCTTCAAGCCACGGAGCCTCAAGACCTCATGAGCCTTACAGGCCAGACGTAAAGTTGGAACATCGGTCAGCAAGGATTAGTGCTGGGATATTCCCTATACTCTACATCTCGAGGGCCTGAGAAAAGTCACGTTGCAACTCTATGGCTTACACTTGGGTAGTTATCAAAATTATCGTCCCTTTTGGGGTACCCTAAATAATAGGTGCCGTATTATAATAAGGACCCAACAAGGGACCATAGTTTGACAACCACCGACTTAAAAAAAAGAACCGAGGCAGAGCCGAAGAAGGGGAGGGTGCCAAGGCAAAGGCCAGGGCCCGAGATCGCTTGGGCCGTTTCGGCCTAGAGCTTAGGGAGTTATGGAGCTGGTCACAGTAGGATCATGACACTGAACAACTACCTATGCTCCTTCCTGTGCTCTTCCGATGAAGTCTTATGCACCCAGCTTGGGCTTGGGCTTGGATTTTCTGCAGCTTGTGTGTGTGTGTCCACTTCCACGCCCGGTAGTCTTTCCTTCGAAGCCTCGATGAGCAAAAGAATTCGCGAACAGGCACGTATGCCGCATCTTCTGAAGAATCCAGCAGGCTGGTCGCTTCAGAACAGCTTCTGCGATGATGTGTTTGGGTGAAAGCTTGAAACGATTGACTGCCCGGCAAGGCTCGCGAGCATAGTTTCTAAGTGCATGACTCGATGTTGGTGTTGTGCCGTCAGGTTATCCATGGGTATCGTGGCGGACAAGCCAAACGTGACTCCGAGTCAGCCACGAGACAGCGTAGCCTAATCGTAGCCAATGGCTGCTGAACAGATGACGCTCTTGTTTGCGGAAGTGGGGCAGGTTCTGGTTGTTTGATATTGTTTTGGTGATACGTGGCTTTCTTTGGCGGTGTCGTTGGATGGGCGATAAGAAGCACTCTCGGGTTACCCATAGTGATGTAGGCTCCTTTCGGCATTTTCCTTCCCGCACTTCCCGCTGGAATCTGCACCTAGCGTGGGAGTTGCAGGTAGTACAATGACCCGTGACCACTTTAAGAGTGACCCCTTGCCAGGGATCACTCGGCTAGGTGCTTGATTCTGGAGATTATATCGATAGCAGAGATCTTGCTTGGCATGTCCAATGCCCGAGTTTTGCAGGATTCCTGCCATCACAGCTCATTTTCTTGAATTTAATGGATTTGCATGTGGAATCCCGAGTCTGGCATGCGCCCAGCTCACTTTGGCTTATTGTACAGCAACCTGGCGACACTACGCACAACAGTTGATCACGCCAGGTGCGCGTTTTGCATCAGCGTGCCCTCTTCGCAGCCTGATTGGTTTACTTACACGCACCAGAGAGTAAACTCCTTTCAGCTGAATCTGCGAAGTTGGAAGCCCTTGCCCGTGAGTTAGGGCAGCGTCAGCCCCTTAAAGGTATCCTCACGGATCGAGGGAGGGACAATGAGACAACGTACGCACGGCGATGGCAGCTTAGGCCGCAGAACCTGGACTTACTACAGGTGGATCCCTCATTAAGCCTTTGCTTCCCTGTTTCTGCCGTTTCGACACGATCACAGCTGGAATCGTCGAGGCTCCAATGCTCTGGGATATGCTCGCCTTGCACAGCGACATATGGAGTGTGTCCAATTTCGAACATCTCGAAGCTATCTCACCTGCAGATGGAAGCCCGATGAAAAGTGAACAAGGTGTCATTGTTAGACATGACATGACTTGTCCGCGCAGAAGTTCTCGCGGTTTTGGCAGCTGATCTAGGACACTCTCTTTTCTCAGCCTCCCCGTCGTTCTGCAGGTCGGCTACACGAACCTGGACGGTTTCGGACAGGCACGAAGAGGGTTTGGCGTTCTAGGATAGTGGGCGTTGTAGATGCTGCAGTGTGAGAATGTCGGAGAGTTTGCAGAGGCCGACCATAGAGAGAGGAGGTCCACAGTCAGAGTCATGTTTTGAGTCAAGCCCTCTGTGCAAGCAACACGGGCATTTGACGTCAGCAATAGGCGGTACTTACTCTAGTTAGTATTGCCGCGTGTGTATGTCTAAGCTGCCGTGCCTGGGAATGATGGTTGGTGCTGTCCCGATGCAGCCGAACCTGAGTGAGAGAGCGTTGCTGAGGTGCAGATTGCTGCTACTTGCATTTAGCTGCTATCTGCTTGCAGCTTCCTCTTGCCACTGCCTGCAAAATCCCCTTGCCAGCAGTGAATGAAATCAGCACCGCCACTAACTGCTAGTAGGCCCATCCCGCAAATCAGCAAGACCGTGAGAGTAGCCACGAAACCCCGAAGCTTCCAAGCCAAGCTCCTGAACAACCCATGCTATGCTAGTGTACCCTTACAGCACCCCTTATTGCAGAGTCCTTTTCGTAACCCACGTCCCTGCCACAGCAAGACCATTGTGGTAGTTTCAGAAAACTAGGGTACCCTATTTAGGAGTCCTTATAATAAGGATCTTACTATTTAGGGTCCTTAATTCAGGGTCCCCTATTTTCTGAAGCTCTCTTGTCGGCCGTTGCCTCATAAAGAGGCTGGAAGGCGCCTGCTGGGTGCCTCCTGGGAGGCTCCTGTCGTGTTCTTTTTGTCACATTCGGCTTGAGGGCTATAAGGGGGTTTCCGAAAATAGGGGACCCTAATATAGTACCCTAAATAATAGGATCCCTATTATAAGGAACCCAAAATAAGGTACACCGTATTTTCGGAAACTCCCATAAAGGCTTCTAAGATAGGGTTACGTAGAAGTGCTACTTGGAGGGTTGCGACAAGGATTTCGGTATCGGGGTTCACTAGGAGTTTCGGATAATATAGGTCCGTTGGGTTTAGGGTTTATAGGACTCAATTTTTGGGGCGAGGCTTCAAGGATCCTACCCCTGGGAAATAAACGCTAAGTGTCCGTTGAGATGGGATTCGCAGTGCTACTGCTGCTGCTACCACCACCACCGCCACCACCACCACCACCAGCACCACTTCTATTACCACTTCTATTGCGACAACGATGCTGCGACTGTGTTTGCCCCCTCGGTTTTCAGCATCCAGGGATCAGCGCGACTTGGAAGCCGGGAATTCAACCACGCTAAGCTAGTAGATCTCTTGGGGTGTTTATTATAAAGTGGTCCTGATTTATCGGAAACTACCCATGCGCATCTGCTACTTGTTTCTAAGACAGCTTTCTGCTGCTTAATGCTAGGCCAGGCCTGGCTGTGTACGATGGAGCTAGTTGCCAGTTCGTTTTGGCACAGCAACAACACAGAAAGGTTAAGAGGCATGAATGCAAGGGCCTCATGAATTAGTTGCTGCTCGTGTTCCTAAGGGTCCCTATAGTAATTATTTCAGCGTATAGTATGACCTTTGTCTACAAAGCCCTCTTAAAACAAAGGGAAACCTTCTTAACCCCTATAGAAGGCCCACGCGATGTGTCATGGCTTCACACCACGAGGCTGTCAGTCCGTCTCTTCCCGTGGCCGGCCTGGGTGCGATGAAGGCGGCGACAGACCGAATGCTTTGCAGCTTGAGCGGCGCAAGGATGTACAGAGTTTATGGGTTTGGGGTGAACTCTTTCTGCAAACTCCACTGAGCTCCTGTGCACGGCAGAAGCCGTGTAATCGTGCAACGTATCAAGCATTGAGGCTTTTTGGGGCCAATCCATTCCGCAGCCCGGCGATTGTTTTGCAATGCAAACCCGATTGTCAATGTTGCAAGCGCTGGAAGGTCGCGCCCTCCCGAGCATCTCCAGCCGCAGGCAATTGGGTGATAAAGCGATTGAAGAGGTTTCAGAATAATGGAGCCTAGTGTACTAGTGACTCGAAAGGGTAGGATCCTTCTGCCGTAACCCCCGTAAAAACAGAAACCCAGGTTTGAGAGTCCATATACAAGAACAAGGTCCGAGTGGTCCATGCGGAGCCGGTGCTTGGAGGTCAAAAACATTTGCCAGGTGACTGAGCGAGTCTCTCTGTGCAGGAAACAGAGTTTCTGTGTCTTGTTGTATTAGAGTCCGTAAGAGTAGCAATGACAGCATCATAATTACGCCTTTTTCGCAAGCAGGTGATCAAAAGGGTGAGCTGCAGCATGTAAATTTCGCAGTCAAGCTGAATGTTGAGCATGTCGGTCTCTCCGCTTGTTTGCTGTGCTCGATTGGCATCACGCGTATGGCATCAGGCGTGTGGGTTTGTGTGAAGCTACATGATGTTTCATGGTGCATGTATGGATGGATGGATGCAGGTATACACATACGTATGTACATACCCAGGTAGGTATAGGTACGCATGTATGTGTGTGTGTGTGTCCGGGGCGCTACTTAAACCCTGTCGGTTGAATTTGGGCGACAGCTTGGTCAGGCAATGCTTGTACAGAAGGCTGGGCGAATGAGAGGACTGCTGGACACTGCTACCAAGTGCTGCATGAGAGGTTTGTGCGCGACACTCCGAAATTATAGCGAGGTTTCCCGCATCTTATGGAACAGCTCACTTCTTGGTAAGCTTGGCTCTAAACAGGAGAGAGCTGCAGACGCAGATTCAGCGCTTGCGAGAACAGCTTGTGCAGCAGCGCCACACTGCTACGGACAGTGACTTGGCATGCAGCAGCTCCAAGCTGGAGGCGACTGTGGCCGCTACGAAGGCGTGTCGGTTTCAGAGTCTGAGTTCGGGCTCACACAACATCTGTTGAGCAACAATCGGCGTTGCCTTGTCTTCAGCTTAAGATGAGGCATCACGCAGCTGCGCTTGAGTTTGGATGCTGTGTCGCTTGGCCTGGACAACCTCCCATAGAGCTCTTGCTTCTGCCCTGGATTTTGTTGTGAGCATTCGTTAGTTGTGTGATAGTCCTGCTGATGAAAGTGCCTTGTTCACAGGAACTTAGCATATGCCATGCGCATGTATGTACTGTACGTATGTGTGTATGCAGTTGTATGTATGCATAGCATATGTATGTAACTACTATGCAAAGCTTCTCGCAGGTATGTATGCAAGTATGTACGCAGATGTATGTGTGTGTATATATATAGCATTATGCACTCATTTAACGGTGCTTCCAGAAAGAAGAACAAGTACAAGCAAAATGTGCGTCGAAGCAGAGGCACGCTGAGCAAGATGCTGAGCGGACAAAACTGCAGTGGCTCGGCGCGGAGACATCGTGAAAATCCGGAAATGCATGAGCCCTGCTCTGTGCGCTGAAGGACTCAGCTGAGCCTCCAACGCGCGTATCTTCAAGCCGAGATCGTTTGCCAGGAGCTTGCCAGTTTTGAAGGTGATTCGATTTCATGCAGGCGTATAGAAAGTTTGCTCCGCACGCCAGTAGAAAAAAGCTAATCAGAAGCACGGCTCTTCTGTAGCGGCACGCAGGACAAGCAGCGTGACAAGGCCGAACGAGGCACGCTTTGGTCTACGAGCCACAGGTTGTGCAAAGTCCGTCGTTCTTCCTCATGGTCCCCATACATACACGTTGAGAGATTGAGTCTCACGCCGCTGCCCAGTGCAACTTGTTTCTTGGGAACCCTCCCACACCCGAAAGCATCGCCCTGCCAGCTTTGGAAGCCCTTCGGGCGAGGACGATGGCATTTTGACTCGCATATAATCTGGTTGAATGATTTTCACCTTTGTGATGTATATTTGGGGACTTGAGTGCTACTGTTGGCGTGGAGGGAACTGCATGCATATCATTGCTCACCATGCCTGTCTTCAGAAGCTTGCCTGCCAAGGACCGTTTTAACCATCCTCGATTGCTTCGAAAAGCTTTTCGTGCATGGGTGTCTTCGCTGCACTGGCTAACTTGCAAGAGCAAAACTCCGTATGTACAGCCCGTCTGCATGCTGGAGACGCAGGCTAATCGTAAAGTTTTGAGGCAGTCGTGCGCCTAGCCGAGCGAGCTGAGAGAGAGGGAGAAGCGGAAAAGAATCATCAAGGGCAGACCTTCAACTGCCAAGCCAAAGGCCCGCGCTTATCGCGAGACAGCGGAAGCAGCACGGATGTTGACAAAGGCAGTCCGTCCTTAGGGTTCATTTTGGGCTCAGCTTGTGGCCCTCTGCAGGGACTTCTCAGGCAGGCAGCCTGGATGTCAAATCAAAACATGTTTTCTGCCATCCCCCTTTCGTCAAGAGCTGTTGCCTGATCAGCTCGCGCAAGTGCTGCAAGTTTTAGCGCCGTATTTGTGCAATGAAAGTGGTCGCAAAAGCATAGACAACCGTACTTGCTGAATCTATGTGCTCAGGGCTAGATGCCTCAAGCCCATAAATCCCTTAAGCCCGGAACCCTAATGCCCAAAACCCTAATCGCTCGGAGTGAGCCTACCTAGACCCTCCATCTACCCTCTATTAGACCCTAAATGCCCATTATTTGGGACCATATACCCCTACTTGGAGGTTCATGGGTAGTTATAAGTGGGGCTATAAGTTGGGTAACTATAATTATAACTATAACCCATATTAGGGGACNNGAGGGTACAAGGAGGGTCCTGGTAAGATGCTCTTTCGCTCCTAGCCTGCCAGTTGCCATCCGTGTCTTCCCCGCGCCGGCTACGATTTCTCATCGTATCTCGGCCTTACTGTGGAGGGCTGCAAAAATCTAGAGGTTCGGGGACGTAGTAACAAGGTTTCGGGCTACAGTTCTGCACATTTCTGTGGCACATGTGCGGTTTTCTCTGCTAGGCGCTCTTTGACTTTGTGGCCTGTCCTGGCATAATTGCAAGACTCCGTAGCGACAGCAGCAGTAGCATCAGAAGGAGTAGTGGAACTAGAAGCAGCATGCATGCATACGTACACAGACATGCACTTACTTGGTTAATTTGATTAGTTGGTTTATTCATTCCTTCGTTCGTTCATCAATCATCCATCCGTTCGTCATTCATTCAGTCGTCCATACATCCATCCATTCATTCATCCATTCGTTCATCTGTTCGCTCATTGAATCGTATACAAATGAGAAATAGATAGGTAGATACATGAGTAGGTAGGTAGATGGAGCTGAAACTGCATGCTTACATACAGAAACCTTACGCAAATACATTGGCACATGAGGGTTTCATGAGTTCAATATGTCCGCGTGCATCTGTGTGCATAGTGCCGGGATGCAGCGCTGCATGCAGGTATGTATGTATGCAGTACTACTACTACTACTACTAC